GAGGAAGCACTATTGAGTTTGGGATTTAGAAAGATCCCTTGGGCTGTCTTATGGTGGGAGGATGGGAGGGGGCAGGAGACCAGGTAGGGGACTGGGGAGGTGATGGGGAGAGACATCCTGGCCCAGGGCTGGGCTGTCGAGACCCCAAGCTCAGGAGGCCTAGGAGGTAGGTTCTGGTGTTTGCCCCCCTTTGAGGGAAGGAGGCACCCAGGTTTTGGGCCTGGGCAGCTGGGTGCATCCTCTGAGCTCTCAGAAGGGTACACAAAGGGGCGGAGGCTGGGGACAGGTGCCCTGGGGTGGGGTGCAGAGGTGCTTGGAGCAGCCAGGGCGCGTCTGTTGGCTGTGTGGTCCTCTGCTGCCCCCTGCTGGCTTTGCATTGACGAGTGCTGCTTGCGAGTCTGGCAGAAAGGACGGACCCAATGAACCCAAACTCCAACCAGTGATAAAAGATGACATTTCTGGGGCGACCATGCTGCAGGGTGCACCCATGTTCACTGCCCCCCCCCTTCCCCCGGGTCTCCAGCTGCCTCCTGCCAACTCACCGAAGTGAATTTCAAGACTGACCTCTCAAGCCTGCCCTCTTCTTCCTTCCCTCCTCCCTCCCTTCTCTTTCTCAGTTTTATTGAGATATAATTCACATACCAGACAATCCACCCGTTTAAAGTGTACAAATCGGGCAGCCCCGGTGGCCCAGCGGTTTAGCACCGCCTGCAGCCCAGGGCGTGATCCTGGAGACCCGGGATTGAGTTCCATGTCGGGCTCCCTGCATGGAGCCTGCTTCTCCTGCCTGTGTCTCTGCCTCTCTCTCTCTATGAATAAATAAAAAAAAATCTTTAAAAAAAAGTGTACAAATCCAGTGTTCTTAATATGTTCATAGGGCCACACAACCATCCACATGATCGATTTTAGAACATTTCCATCACCCGGAAAAGAACCCCTGTACCCCTTAGCAGTCACTCCTAGCCCCCCATCCCTCCAGCTCCTGGCGACCACTCATCTGCTAGGAAGCAAATCCTAGATGCCTCTGTGGATTTGTCTATTCTGGACAGTTCCCTTTCATGGAATCATATAATATGTAGCTTTTTGTGTCTGGCTTCTTTTCATTCAGCATCATGTCCTCAAGGTTCATCCAGGTCGTCCCATGGCTCAGTACTTCGGTACTTTGGTCGTTATCCGAAGGCCGCATTATATTCCATTGTCTGGATACACCATGTTTTGTTTGTTCCTCTGCTGATGGATATTTGGGTTGTTTTCACTTTTGGGCTATTATGAACAGTGCCGTGAGCATCTGGGTACAAGTTTTCATGTGGACATGTTTTCACTCCTTGCAAACCTAGTCCTCTTGCATTGTGAATGCAATGCCCCTGCATCCCATCAGCAAACCAGACACCAGTGGGGGTCCCCCATTCCAGCTCCCCAGCTTTCTTGGCACCTGTTCATTCTTCTTCATAACATTACTCCCCTGGGAATTATGTTTGGTGCCATTTGTTGTCAGTTCTCTGAGGATAGGGATATCTGTTGTTGTTTTTTAAAGATTTTATTTATTTATTCATGAAAGACACACAGAGAGAGATACAGACACAGGCAGAGGGAGAAGCAGGCTCCCTGCAGGAAGCCTGTTGCAGGACTCAATCCCAGGACCCCGGGTCACGACCTGAGCCAAAGGCAGATGCTCAACCACTGAGCCACCCAGGCATCCTGGGATCTCCGCTTTGTTCTCGGCTATCTCATCAGAGCCTAGAAAAACTGCACACAGCAGGTGATCAATAAATGTTCGTTGAGCTGATGAACGAAACTTTTGACACACTCTTCTCCCTCATCCCTTACATCTAACTCAGGGCCAAATTCTGCCAATGTTTTATTCTAAATATCTCTTGGCTCTATGCATTTCTTCCACCAGCGAGGCCTGCCACCCTGGTCCAGCACCTGCTGAATGAATGAATGAGTCACTGGATGAAGATGTGGATGGGTCTTCCTAGGAAGTTCTCTCAGGAAAGCATCGTGGTGGAGAATGTGGCCTCTGGTGTGAATCCTGATGGGGTATCGATTGGGCTGTTCATACATACCGGTTTTCCCTATTCTGAATACACGGTAGCATTGCACCTGCCAGCGCTCTTGACATTAGGTTGTATCATGTACCCTCCTTTGGCCAACGAGCTGTGAGTGGGAGTGTCACTTCTGGGTGAAAGCCTTTAAAAGTCTGTGTGCTTTGCTGTGTCCCCTCCCTTTTCCGGCACAGTGACCGACTGTGAGAGCCTGGTTCCTGAATGAGGAGATGTGAAGCCGAGCTCTCCTGACTCTGGGCATGCCCTCCGCACTGAGACCACCGTGAAGCACGAGCAAGAAATAAACCACCGTCGCTATTTTAAAGCACGGAGATGGTGGGGTTGTTTGTTACTGCAGCCTAACCCAGCTCATCCTGACCCCAACACTGGCCTTTCTTTATACATGGTGTGTGACCTTGGGACAGTCACTTCCCTTCTCTGGGCCTCCATTTCTCCATCTGCAAAATGGGAATAGACAGTCCCAGCCTCCCAAGGCTATTCTGAGAATTTGAGAAGTTCAGACAAGTAAAGACACAGAGGCCCGGCTCTGTTTACTGGAGCTGTTGCTACCGTCATGCTTACGTCTGGTTTCGTAGCGGTGAAGAAGACCTCACTGGTGACCCCAGGGCTCTCCCTTTAAGGTTGTGATTTGAGGACTGTGTGACGCTATCATTTCTGCTCGCATCCCATTGGCCAGGAATTAGTCACATGGCCGCATCGAGCTGCAGGGCATCCTGGGAAATGTAGTTTTTAATGCTCAGCAGGAAATGTAGTTTTTATACACTTGGTTCAAAACCCTATTACTGAGGAAAAAGAGAGAACGGATATTGGGGTTTGACAGGGGTTGCTAGAAAAGAGGAGAGGAAGGCAGGCATGGGGTCCCCCCACATACTCTGCACCTGACAGCCAGTGCTGGGGCTGACCCTGCTGTGACCTGGTCAGCAGCAGGGGATCAGGGGCCCAGAGGATCGGGGTGTCCTGAGAGGTCTGGGGATGGAGAAATCCTTACGCGGGGAGTATTTGCATATTGAGTCAGGAAGAGACGCAACTTCCCTTCCAGCGAATTCTTTCTCATCCTCTATGTTAATTTCCCGCGGCTGCTGTAACCAACTGGCATAAATGTAGTGGTTTCAAATAATAGGAATTTATTCGCTCACAGTTCTGGAGGTCAGAAGTCTGAAATGGGTCTCACTGGGCCAAAACCAAGGAGGTGGCGGGGCTGGGTTGCTTTCTGGAGGTTCTAGGGGAGAATCTGTGTTCTTGCGATTGTGTTCAGAGTTTCTGGGCTCTGCTGGTGGCCTCTTTCTGTCTGCCACACCAGCAAGGGTCCCGGGAAATCCTTCTCCCATCACGTCCCTCTGACTCTGTGGGGCCTTGGCTTCTGGGCCCTTCCTCCATCTTCAAAGGCCTGTATCACTCCAATCTCTACCTCCTTTCTTACAGCTCCTTCTCTGACTCTCTCTCCTCCTGGGTCCCTTTCAGAAGGACCCTTGTGATTATATTTCAGGCCCAGTGAGATCGTCCAGGATCATGGATAACCATCTCAGGATCCCATCTCAGGATCCTTAACCCAGTCATACCTGCCAAGACCCTTTGGCCATGTAAGGTAACATTCACAGGGCATTAGCACATAGACAACTTTATTCAGCCTATGACATGGTCTTTTTTTCAGCTCCCAGAGCAAAAGCGACAGTCTGCTGTGCCTTACATGGGGGGCCCTGTGCCCTGCACTATCTGCTGCTCCTCATCTCCCTGAGCTCACCCTCATTCTTTCCCTTTTCCTTCCTCTGCTCCCACCACCCTGGCCTCTTTGCTGCTCCTTGAACTCCCCAGGCATACTCCTACTTCAGGGCCTTTGCACTTGCTGCTTCCTCTGCCTGGAATGCTCTCCCTCCCGATCCCTACATTCCTCTCTTTCCTCCTTTAGGACTTTGCTCATCGTCACCTTCTCTTCGAGGCCTTCTCTGACCTTCCTATTTAAAATCACAGTCCCTCCACACTCCCAACCCTCTTCTCTCTTCATTTCCCCTTCTCTTCTAATCACCATCCAGCACGCCACGCATATTAGTTACTTTGCTGACTCTCTCCTCCACCATAGCGCCCCTCTAGGAGAACAGAAGTTTTTGTCTGTTTTGTTTTCTCCCAAAGCCGCAGAGTCCAGAACTGTGCATGACACACGGTTTATTTATTGTTGAATGAGTGATTAAATTAAGGGGCGACAGATGGGGCTTACATTTGGGACCGGGGTTTTGGGTGGGGGTAGGGAAGAGAACCGCTGCCTGAGGGCCTTGGTAAGATTCAGGGTCCCAGGCAATAGGCAGAAACTGGCCACAGGTTCTGAGAGACCAGATCTCGAGAGGGACTGGATTGGCCCTGCCGGAGCAGGGAAGGGGTCCGACTGCTGTGGTAACCGGCCAGTTCTGCATCGGGGGCCACAGGCCTGGAAGGCCAGCCCTCCCTGCCATATGCCTTATTGTTTGGGGATGTGTGGCCAGGGGCTGCCTTGACCCCAGTGGAAGGAGTTCCTAGGACAACCAGGGAGCAGGAGTGGGGTGTTGTGGGCCAACAGTAGCCCAGCAAGTAGGAGCCTGTGAGGTCTGGCTTGAGGCAGGCCTGAGTCCACATTCCTCCCCCCAAACATCCAGTGTGTGTGAGGATCCTTGGGTTAGGAGAAGGCAAGAGCCTGTCTTTCCCAGGCACATGGCCCAGGCCAGGTTGCTAGACAGACCAGCCTTGAGAGCAGGTTATAAACTCAGAGGGTCAGAGAGGAGCTGGGCCCATCATGATCTCTTGCCCCCCATCCCCCCTGCCTGATGCCATACTGAGTCTTCATTTGAGTCGGCCCCACAGCTGTGGTGGCCTGGTCCTGTGGGGTCTGTGGTGTGGCTTTTCTGTGGGCACCAGGCCCCCAGGGGAGGGCTGAGGCTTTCACACTTTCAGGGGCCTGGGACCTCTTCATGGGGTTGGCGTGAGCTGGCAGTAGGGGGCAGGGTCGGGGTTCAGCAGGTCCTGGCGGGGAGAAAAAGAGAGGGATCGTGGGTGGTGGTCAGAGTCGGGGTCGGGGGAGCCAGGCGGAGCCTGAGGCACACAGGGAGAACATAGCTGGAGAGAGGGAAGAGCAAGAAGGAGAGAGGTGTGCAGAGGCAGGAGGCACCAGGCCCTGGAGACCCAGAGAAAGGGGTGGGCACGGAATGACAGAGATGAAGAGACAGGAGGGACAGGGGCAGAGAAAAGGAGAGAGGGACAGAGAGAGAGAGAGAGAGAGAGAGAGAGAGAGAGAGAGAAAAGGACATAGGGAGCCAGAGAATGACAGCAAGAGTGGGAGCCATCCTGAGAGGTGTAGAGACATGTACAGAGAAATGTAGAGAGACACATGGACACAGAGATCTAGGGGTGGACGGGAGGGGACAGAGAGGGGCTGGGGCGCAGGCCCAGGAATAGGCCCCTTAAGTGGGGTCGACTTGGGCTCTGACCTGTTGTGTGACCCTGGGCGCCACCCTTCCCTCTCCCAGCTTCATTTCCTCCTGCGCAAATTTGCAGTCTTGGAATCCTTCTAAGAAGGAGGGAAGTGTAACCCCAGGAAGGGAGGGGCTGGACTGTGTTCCGGGGAGCTAGAGACTTGAGAGCAGGTGGCAGTTAGGTGAGGATGCCCCCCCCCCATCCCAGCTCCACACCTGGTAGGGGTGGTTCTCTGGCCCCGGCAGGGGCTGCAAGGGAAGAGCGCAGGTGAGCCGGGCCCTGGCACTCCCACACCCTCCAACCCTCCAACCTTTGACCTTGGGTGTCAGGCCCTATCTGGATTCCAAATGCACCTCGCCCCTTCCTGGGTGTCCTGACTATGACGGCCTTCACACCCCGCCTCCCGTCCACACCTGTGGCTCCACAGTTTTAGTTTAGGCTTTTGACATTTTTCCTCTTATTCAATTCTTCGTCTTCTACTTTTTTTTTTTTAAGAATTTATTTATTTATTCGTGAGAGACACACAGAGAAAGAGAGAGAGGCAGAGACAGGCAGAGGGAGAAGCAGGCTCCATGCAGGGAGCCCGAGTTGGGACTCGATCCCAGGGCTTCAGGATTACACTCTATGGCTAAGCCACGGGGCGGGGGGGGGGGGGGCAATAGAATTCTTCTTCTTATCATCCCTTCCCACCCGTATCCGCCCCATGGAGAAACTACAGACAAGCGGAAGAAGGAAAATAGAGCCCTCCCCACCCCCACCCCCAGCCTCCATGCCCCAGAGACAAAGGCTCTATGTTGTGTCTTCCCAGACTCTCTTCCTGGTGGCTTTAAAGTAGGGAGCATCCCGGGGACACCCAGGTGGCTCAGTCGGTTGGGCATCTGCCTTCAGCTCAGCTCATGATCTCAGGGTCCTGGGATCAAGCCCCGCATGGGGCTCCGTGCTCAGCATGCGTCTGCTTCTCCCTCTCTCTGCGGCTCTGCCTACTTGTGCTCTCTCTCTCTCTCTCAAACAAATAAGTAAAATCTTAAAAAAAAAAAGTAGGGAGCATCCCACAGAGTCGTGTTCTTGCAGTGGGGGACAAGGTGCCAGGCGCCACAGTGAACCCCCAGGGGAGCCACCAGGGGGCTTTGGGGGACAGGTGGGGGCTCACCATGGTGTTGTTCGTGGACGCTGTGCCCCCAAGGGGGGACACCAGGTGGGTCGGAGACAGCATCACCTCATAGATGTGCTGGTCACCTGAAGCAGGGGACAAGGGAGGAACTGGCTGGCAGGTCCCACAGGCCCCTGCTGGCTGCTGTCAGCGCTCATTTACTCAGCTAACACTTGTGCAAATCCCTGTCTTGCCCAGCCCTGTGCTGGGGACCCTGCCCTTCTGGGGCTCCCAGTCCAGTGGGGGAGACAGATCTGTCCCCAGATAGAGATAACCCAGAGTGGGTATGGGTGAGTGGGGGAGCCCTGAGGGTTCCCAGAAGGGGGATCAGGGAGGACTTCCTGGAGGAGGGGACAGCCAAGACTGGAAAGAGAAGTGAGAGCTACGCAAAAGCAGGCATGAGTGGCTGGCGGGAGATAGCCTGCCATGGCTGAGGAGCTGTGACACGTTTGGCCTGTCAATTTGTTTTATATTGTTTTGTTTTTAAGGGCAGGAATGTTACACGTGGGAGATGAAGCCAGGAAAGACAGTGGCGATCAGTTTGCAGGGGTCTGGAGAGGCATGTAAAGGAGGCTGACCCTGTCCTACGGACCCTGGGGAGCTATGGAGGGCCTTTGAGGAGTGACAGGGTGAGAGTTTTAGAAGCACTCTGCCCGGGGGTGGGGTGGAGGCCAGCCTGGGCCGGGTGTGGTGCCCCAGGAGTGGAACTGCCAGGACTAGATGTGCCAGCCACTGAGAAGAGGAGGAAAAGCAGGTTTGGGGTGAAGTGATTGGGAGGCTCCCAGCAGAGGAGGGGGAAGGTGTGTGTGGCTGATGGGGTGAAGAGGAAGGAGCCCGGAGGAGGGCCGGTAGCCACTGGGACCCCTGGCTTACCAGCATTGCAGTTGGGGCGCGCCTCTGGCTTCTCTGTGGGTGTCATCCTGGGGACATATGGAGAGAACCAATATTAGGGTAGTAAGAGGCTCGGGCGGGTGGAGAGAGACTTAGAGAAGCTGGAAAAGCCCATCAGTCCATCAGAGAGTGAGATGGTCCCTGCTTCAGAGCGAGTTAGGACAAGACCTACCCTATCCCCATCTCTTCTCCCATAATCCCTGGCCCCAGAGTCCTTCCTCAGTTTCCCCAGCTGCCGCCATATGCCAATGAGTAATGTTTCCCTAATGTCACTGTTGATACAGACCATCCAAATGATTCTGCTCTATCCACCTGTCTCACGATTTCCTTGATAGTTCTCTTCGAATCAGCTCATTTGAATACCTTTATTTAAAAAGTACATGACATCACTGCGGCAAATAGAAATAGATTGTCTCCTGGGAAAACAGGCCCCTGCCTCTCTCCTCCATACAGAAGTGGGCACCATCTGATGCCTTTACCTGCCCACCTGTCCACTCTGCTTCTTTGGTAATAACGTCTGTTTTTTTTTGGGGGGGGCAGGTAGGGAACCCTTCCCCACTCTGAATCCATCTAGTCACATGGAGCTGGGTTGGTCCTCTGACTCCAGAGCTGTGCAAATAACCCAGATTTGGCCAATTGGGACATTCGAGCACCTGGCTACAGTGGTTGGTCCTCATAGGACATGTGATTTGAGTTAAGCTGGGGAGAAGCAGCCCTGGGGCTTTTGCTGGAGGTGTCAGGTGCTAGGTGTGGTCTTCTCTCTGTGGCCGCTGAGCTGATGGGATATAAGCCTGGGGCCCCTGGGTGCTGTCTCGTCACACCAAAAGGGAAGATCCTTCCTGAGAATGAAGCCACCACTGAGAAAGGCAGAGTTGAGAAGTATATGGAAGAGCCTCTTGCCAAAATCGAGTTCCTGGATCCAGCCATACCTGAAGCTCATATAGGACCCCAAAAAACCTTTTAATTCTTTGTAAGCCCATTTGAAGGTAGGGTTTCTGCCTCTTGCAGGGCAGATTCTGCCTAACATAGGATAGAAAGATCCTTTTCACCTCAAGAGTTCTGAGATTTGATGAGATTGTGTATGAGTCGGAGGACATGACTCCCAGAAGAATCAATCAGTGGGATGCAAGAGGTGGGGAAGAAGACAGAGGGACAGAGAGAGAGGCTGGGCCCCTGTACCTGTGGCTGTGGCCCCTCCGGCCTCCTGTTAACAGGAGATGGGCAATGCAGCCGATGAAGAGGGACCCGGCAGCGAGGGACCCAATTATGATGGCAGTCATGATCCCAGCACTCACGGGCAGGTGTATAATGGGCAGCTCCTTATGCTTTTCTGAGGGGTATGAGAGAGAGAGAGAGAGAGAGAGAGAGAGAGAGGAGAGAAGCCTGTGAGATGTCCTGGGAGGGCCTCCCCACGCCCCTCACCCCTGCATCAGTGACTGTCCATAAAGCACTGATGTGCAGTTTCCTGTCCCCAGCCTAGAGCTTTCTCCTGCTGAGAAAGAGCTGAGCATCCACCCGTCTAGTTGATTCTGCTGCACATAAAACTCAGCCCCCCAAGATGGAACTCCTTGGCTCTCCCCACCTCAAAATCTTTGCTTCCCTAGGATTTCCTACCATCTTCGGCAAACCCGAAACCTGCTTCCTGACACATCCCCCCACCTCACCCCACCTGCCTGCTTTTTCTCAACTTAGTTGATTGACATCTCCATTCTTTTAGGGGATGTCCTCTGTTTTGTGGGGGGACAAAGGATCTTGATGTGTGGGGTTCTCAAACCCCACCTGCCAGGTTTGGAACGGAGCCTACCTGACTTCCTACCCCCACCATGAGGACCTCCAGTCTTTCATATCATGCTGAACACCTGTTATATCCCAACCTTTCTTGGCAGCTAAACTTGTAGACTCTGAGGTAAAAATGCTGGGGTACATGGGCAGATGACTCAAACTCGCTGTGCCTCTTCCCATTTGTGAAATGGGGATGGTAAGAGTATCTACCTTGTAGAGTTGTTGTGAAGATTGCGCGCACACACACACACTGTTCTTTCAATTATCCAACAAAGTAAGATCTATGCCATTTAAAAGATGAGTAAATGAGGCATGGAGAGGTGAGCTAACCTGCCCAAGGGCTCACACCAGGTGCAATGAATGCTAGGATCACAACTGGGCCACCTGAGATCCTGAGGACCACTCTGTGTAGCTTCCAAAAGAGGGGCCTGTGTCCCAGGAACCCTTGAAGGATGGGAAGGAACTGTATCAGGCTCTGCGTGACTGGAGTGTAGACCATCATTTCCAAATGGACTAGAGTGTCACCATATATACATACATACACACATATATATGTATTTGTGTGTGCATATAATTAAATCACTCAATATTCGCCTATTTCATCCATTTCCCTAAAAGTTTATCTGTTCAGAGTGTCCAAAACCCGTTTTAAAATGTATTTTTCTCACTGGGAGGAAGAAGATAGGTTGTGTCTGGGCATATGTGGTCCTTGCCCCCCTGGCCTGGGGAGGTGGCTAAGTCAGGCCCGTTCTGCAGATACACCAAGGCCCAGAGAGGTTGCATTTGGGCAGAAGATAGAAGGCAGGCCCTCTTCCAGACACTGGAACTTAACAGCTTTCGCATCTTCTACCTTTTTAATTAATTAATTAACTAATTAATTAATTTTTGAGTAGCCTCACACGCAACTCTCTTGAGTTCAAGCCCCAGAGATCAAGAATTGCATGCTGTACCGACTGAGCCAGCCAGGTGCCCCCACCTCCTTCCTTTTTGACTTTCACAACAGCAAGTGGAATTCCAGTGGCTTCTGTGAGTGACTCAGGAGGTGGGGGGGCGGCGGCTGAGGCCAGGTCAGCTGACTCAAGGGTTCCCCCAGTTCCTGTCCTCTCCACCCAGGCCCTATTGCCTCATCTTCTTATAGCATCCAGAGCCCCTTCTCCTGCTTCTTCTTGCTCTGGCCCCTGCTGCCCTGTCCACCCATGCAGTTCCATCACCCACAGCTCCCTTCCTCGCTGTCTGGGGCTGCCCAGCCTTTGCCCATGCTGTTCCCTCTGGCTGGCATGCTCTCTCTATGTAACTCCTGCTCACTTTTCCACTCCCAACTCCCTTTGGAAGCCTTCTCTGACAACCCCAGGCCAAGGAGACTCCTGATAGGCATTTCCTTCATAGCCTACTTGCTTAATTTTTCTTTAATTTTTATTTATTTATGATAGTCACACACAGAGAGAGAGAGAGAGAGGCAGAGACATAGGCAGAGGGAGAAGCAGGCTCCATGCACCAGGAGCCCGACGTGGGACTCGATCCCAGGTCTGCAGGATCGCGCCCTGGGCCAAAGGCAGGTGCTTAACTGCTGCGCCACCCAGGGATCCCACTTACTTGCTTAATTATGCAATTAATTGGTTCATGTTGGTAGATTGGACATGAAAGAGCACTTCAGGGGCACCTGGGTGGCTCAGTCGGTTAAGCGTTGACTCTTGATTTCGACTCAGGTCATGATCTCAGGGTTATGAGATCGAGCCCCTCATTGGGCCCGTTTGCTCAGTGCTGCTTGAGATTCTCTCTCTCCCTCTGCCCCTCCCTCTGCTTGCATGCACATGCTCGCTCTCTCTCTCAAATAAATAAGTCTTAAAAAAGAAAGAAAAAGAAAGGAAGAAAGAAAGAAAGAAAGAGAGCACTTCAACTACCTCCATTGTGACCTTAGTCTGTACTTGTTAATTGGTTAAGTTCTTTCCAGCTTGTCTCTTAACTCATGCAAAAGATGCTGTGTGCAAGGCATCCTGTGATGGGAGCGGAAACTACCCCTTCAAGCAGTAGGGACTGCTCTGAGCCTGCAAGAGCCCTCTTGACTGACCCCGAGACAACAAGTGACCTGACCTTTACTGCCCTCCTGCACGTATCCACTGACCTTTGTCTCACATCTTCCTTATATAAACCTAGATGTATTTTCAGCGCTTTGGAGACAGTCTTTGAGATGCTAGTGTGCTGTCTTCCTGGTGTTGGCCTCACTGAAATAAATAAATCCCTTTTTTTCCTACCTCTCGTCTCTCTGCCTTTGGATTTCGTCTGCAGAGAGTGGCCAAACTTGGTCTGTTTGGGATCTCAGGAGCCAGGTGCTCCTGCACCCCTGTGCCCCAGCTACAGACATGTGGGTGTCTCCTCAGCTGGAACCTTCTACCCCTCCACCATGTGAAGCCTCCAGGAGTTCGGGGAGGGATGGATCCCGCCTCCAGCTCTGGGTAGACTCCCTTAGCTTATCCATCCCTTGTCACAGCCACCGCATCAGGAAGGGCAGCCGCTCAGACCTAAGCCAGTCAGCGCTCTGCATTCCTTTGGCCTTCCTAATTGGCTCAGGTTGGTCCAAGCAGAGTGAAAGTGAAGCGGTGTGGTCCAGAGGGGGTTGGAGGAAGGGACCCTGGTCTGGAAGCTGTGGGCTTGTGAGCCTTGGGAACCGTAAAGTCATCTTGCTACCCTGAAGGCATTAATCATGCCTCCTTCTCTCTTGGAAAGAGAACCCCGAACTTGAACTGGGCACAAGCCTGCCCCAGATAAAGACATTTCCCAGCCTCCTTTGCACCTCTGTACATGGACAGCTCGTTCAAAGATGCCATAGAGCACAGTGTTGAAGGTTGCTGCTGACATCAGAACCCTGAGCAAGTTCACATACAAAATTCTGTGTCTGAATTTCCCATTTTATAAGGATACGAGTAGTATTGGATTAGGGCTGAGCCTAGCGATCTCACTTTAACTTGATTGCCTCTATAAAGATGGTCTTTCTTTCTTTCTTTTTTTTAAATTTTTATTTATGATAGTCACACACACAGAGAGAGAGAGAGAGAGAGAGAGAGGCAGAGACACAGGCAGAGGGAGAAGCAGGCTTCATGCACTGGGAGCCCGATGTGGGATTCGATCCCGGGTCTCCAGGATCGCGCCCTGGGCCAAAGGCAGGCACCAAACCACTGCGCCACCCAGGGATCCCTCTTTCTTTCTTTCTTTTTTTTTTATTATAAATTAATTTTTATTGGTGTTCAATTTACCAACATACAGAATAACACCCAGTGCTCATCCCGTCAAGTGTCCCCCTCCGTGCCCGTCACCCATTCACCCCCACCCCCCGCCCTCCTCCCCTTCCACCACCCCTAGTTCATTTACCAGAGTTAGAAGTCTTTATCTTTCTTTCTTTCTTTTCTTTCTTTCTTTCTTTCTTTCTTTCTTTCTTTCTTTCTTTCTTTCTTTCTCTTTTTAGAGATTTTATTTATTTATTCATGAGACACACACACACACAGAGGCAGAAACATCAGCAAGAGGGGGAAGCGGGATCTCTGCGGGGAGCCCGATGTGGGACTTGATCCCAGGACTCTGGGATCATGACCTGAGCTGAAGACAAATGCTCAATCGCTGAGCCACTCAGGCATCCCTAAAGATGCTATTTCTATTCATCTTTTGATGGACACTGAGACTCCTTCCACAGTTTGGCTATGTGAACATTGCTGCTATAAACATTAGGGTGCAGGTATCTCGGTTTTTCACTGCATCAAAAGATGAATGGATAAAGAAGATGTGGTCTATATATACAATGGAGTATTACTCAGCCATTAGAAATGATGAATACCCACCATTTGTTTTGACGTGGATGAAACTGGAGGGTATTATGCTGAGTGAAGTAAGTCAATTGGAGGACAATCATTATATGCTTTCATTCATACGGCGAATATAAAAAATAGTGAAAGGGATGATAGGGTAAAGGAGAGAAAATGAGCAGGAAAAATTAAAGAGGGTGACAAAACATGAGAGACTCCTAACTCTGGGAAACGAACAAGGGGTAGTGGAGGGTGAGGTGGGCAGGAGGATGGGGTGACTGGGTGATGGGCACTGAGGGGGGCACTTGACGGGATGAGCACTGGGTGTTATACTATATGTTGGCAAATCGAACTCCAATAAAAAATATATATTAAAAAATAAAAGATGCTATTTCTAAATAAGGCTCTATTCTGATGTACTGAGGATCCGGACTCAGTGCCTCCCAAGCTTGGTTCCTTGCCACCCTGGAGAATATTTGAACTGTTCAGGATCCTTTAATCTCCTTTTCTGCTTAAATCAGCTAGAAGCAGTTTCTTTTCCAGTAGCAAGAACCCTGCCTGAATCACACGATCAAGTGTCTTCTTTTTAGAACTTGTTATATTTTCTGACTTTCATCATAAACAGTGAACTTGAAAAGAGGGAGCCTGTGAATCATTGTCTTTTTCAAAGTTGATTGCGACAGGATCTCTTCTGTGATATGATCTTACCGTTCTCTAATGTAGTAGGAGGGTCTAAGACCCCTCCCTTGAATCT